TAGAATGTAGTAGTAAACTCTGTGTGAGTAAGCTCTAAGAAGTTAAAACATATAATTTCTTACTCTACAAGTTTTTTTCAACTAACTTAGGAGATGAATTTAAATTAAAAATACTAGTTTGCCTTACTGTGTAATGAATTGTGTCGGTCCATATGAGCTTCTTCTTCCCATGCCCTCCAACTATGAATCTGGCCAAACGGTTATAATTCCTCAGTCACAAAGAGAAAGCATGTTTACAAAAACAGCTGAACAGCAATCTTACAAAACAAAACTAGGATAAGTCCATCTACATAAAATTCCTTGGTCACAATTAATATGATTACAATCTCAAGGTCAAACCTTCACAATTGCCAGCAACATTGTTAAGCAACTGTAGGATATATGTGTGATAGCCATGACAAATATGAAGTGGTGCAACTGCTCAAGACCTTCATATGACACAAAAGGCTCATGATCCTGCAGAGCAGAGTAATTTTCAGATCATCCGAGGTTGTACAATACATTGAGTCTAGTTCTGAATCTATAGCAAACAAAGTTTAAAAGAAAATGCAATAACAAAAAATACTTTTATCAGGAAATACAAAAAGAAGAAAAAAAATTGAACGCTAGAATCAGATATGGATAATTCACATGCCTCTTTGCAGGTATTTCGATTCATGCTATTCAAAATTCTCCTAAATGAGTGAGAAACAGGACTCATCAAAAGTTTTCGCTCCTTGGAACCATCATCTTCAAGTTGTTGATCAATTTCAGACCTGGTACAAGGAGCAAAAGTGCTATCGTAGAACTTTGATGGAATCCAAATATTGGCGATTGTGCTTGAGGTGGCTGTTAGAAAGAGGCATATGAAGCCAAGCAGCATTAACTCTGAAGACAGAAGTTCAAAAGCATCATAAAGAAAGTCACAAATAAGGCCAAGAAGAGAGTATGTGAGTCATGTTAATTAATTATTCAACAATTTCCAATAAGCTGCAGCGCTGCACATAATGTATATGCCATTACCTTCTTTCATTTTCTCTACAGCTGCAAGCAAAGGTTTTCTGTTGGTTTTCCGCAAACACTGGAAGAATGAAAAAAAGAAACTCAGTAGAAAGCTTCCAAGTATTATAACTAATACAAACCTCTTTACCTTCATGGTTTGATAAAGGAATAGAGAAGTTATCAGAAAGTATATTAATCCAGTGATACTAGATAGCCAAGAGTTGCAGAAAACCACAAGCACCATAATTGCATATTATGTCCAATTAAAACCCAAGCAACCATGAAATATTATTTCTCAATTCTCGTATTTAACAAATTCCAGTGATGGTACATAACCACCTCTGGATCGCTTATACATTATCATCTACATATTCACTGCCACTGATAAAAATTCTCAGTGGCAATTAAAAGTAAAATATTATTATCAGATAAATTTTTACTTGTTAACCAAATTAACATGAAACATTCTAGAAATGTGCAAAAATAACACAAAATACATTATTAGCTGATAGAAGGATAACCAGAAGTTACAACCTATAGATACCAGTACTTACATTGCTCAGGCGGTGAATTGAGTGTTCCACAACCAAAGAAACTACCACAAATATTGTCAACACGGTAGCAACAGACCATGTTAGTGTTAGAGCCAGTGACCTCAGTTCTTTATCACTACCGGAGTTTTCCGCCATTCTAAGCAACTTTAGTCAGAAACCTCCAAACCTATCTTCCCAAACTAAGTCCCAAAAGAGACCTTCCTCACTCTCTCTCTCTCCAACTAATCCAACAAATTTCATACAGAAATTCAGAAATTATAAACTCAACTATTAAAACACTCTCCCAAACCTCATTAACCCTACATGGAGAGACCAGAAAATCAACAAATTCTGGTCTCCAACATCAAAGACGGTACAGAAAAGGCAAAAAAAAAGAAAATGGATTCTCCCAATTTAACTCAGACCAAAAAACAAAACAGGAAGATGGCAAATGTAGAAAGGGTGTGGCAAAATGGTTGTTCTTTTGCCAAAAATCTAA